ATAATATATTGTCATTATTTGTTTGTTGTAATTCAGGTTTATGACCTGTGGTCATATGATTTAAAATAAAATTAAGGACAAAACACGAGTCATGACATTGTGTGCTTCCTGGTGAGCCTTTTCGGAGGGCTAAATAACGAAAAATCCGAACAGTCATGTTCATACCAATATTTACACATGTTAAGTTTGCTCAAAATAAACGCAGTTGACAGTGAGAGGACGTTTCATTTTTTGCTGAGTTTAGTTAGTAAGTTAGCCAGTTAGCTTGGGTGCTTGACTGCCTTTGTGAGGTCAGAACCCTTGGATCAACCCTACTCCTCGGCCAGAACATCCAGTGTGCGCTCTGAATTTACAAATGGACAATCTGACAACGCTCTGAATTTACGAACGCCCAGAGCGTACTCTGAGCGCACTCTGGCACTCCAGATTGAATTTAATAACACACCCTAAGTCGTAAAATGTCTAGCTAGTTATTTGTTATGCTAACAAGCTAGCAAGAGGTTGCATAGCAACAGCATCAACTTCCAGTAGACAGGCGAAGCGCTAGTACGCTCAACTGAAAGGATACCGTTCGTTTACAGTATACTAAAATGAACTAATAGAATATAGTATGCAGTATATACTCATTAAGTATACAGTATGTTGGTATGGGTATTCGAACACAGCTAAATACACTATTTTATGGAACCAAAGTCAATGTGTTCTGGTGGAGAGGTTCCTTGGTTGTATGTGTAACTGAGTTGTAGCCACATACTTAAATCCGCTGCGGTAAATTTCGTTTTCCCATTCCTTCAAACTAGTTTCGTTTTTCAAACGTCACTGGGCTACTTCCTGGACCAATCAGGAGCTGTTGCTAGTCGGAAAATCAATGTTAAAAGTCTTATAACCAATCATAAATCATTTCACAAATTGCATATTATAAAAGCAAAAGGAAAATAAAAAGTCAAGTACAGGAAGTGATAATGAGGCTTTATCTGACCTGGCCATTGTAGATATAACAAGGTGACCTGGTCAATGATTAACCGACAATACCCCTAAACACACACACACAAACACCACATAAATACTATTATGATACTATACGGACACAGAGGAAACAAATACATTGATCCTTTAATTACATTGATATTTTATTGTTGTCTCAAAAAGTAACTGTTACACAGCACAAAGAATTTAAGCACAGATAAGTTCATAATTGTCTAGAATGTATCTTCTCATGATCTAGGCTTAAACAGAAGCAGCACAAGATGCCGGAGGAGCAGCGACATCATGGGTTTGGTCATGCATATTGCTTAAGATGATCTCTTTAGTAGCATTTCTTCAAGCAGTATGTACAGCAGCTTGTATCTAACAACATCTACATCTTTATTGAGCATTAAGCCCAAATACACTCAAATAACACAAATAAATAAGTGTTGCACTATAGTGTATTTGAGTGACATGAAATCGTATTTATTTCCAAAAGTGCACTGTTGACGACAGTCAAGCGAAAGAAAGAGCAAAGGCGCAACAAGACTAAAACCACACATTGACATTCACTTAAAAGGTAACAAACCTGTTCATAAATACTATTCCAAATAAAGAAACTGTGCAAGCATGGCATTTCAACAAGACAAGTTTTTTTTTTTTTAAGAAGGCCTATGATAATTACGTTTGTGGTGTTCACTCAAAGCCCTAGATGATAATATCATGCAGTGAACTATCTGAACCATAAAAGTCTCAGAAGGGCATTACACTTTTAAATCAAAGTTTTGCAGATGTTTTCATATCTCAAAAGTAGTCTAATGTCACTACATCTCACGATGTAGTTGAGGTCTGAAAACATCAGACAAACTTTCATGTATTGTGTAAAATGACCCTTTAAATAACCATTAGAAATGAGTGGTCTTTACCTCATTCAACAGAAGTAGAATGGAAAAGTACAAAACATGCACACCTGGAATAATATTCCAGTAAAAAAATAAAAATAAAAATACAACACAGCAAAATGTGAATTCAGTATGGAGGCATTGGTGTAAGCTTTAGTCAGTCACTCGACACAGCTCGCTCTATTGGGAATAACGCTTGTGATCCCTCTTCCTTCCAAAAACCTTGGTCACGTTAAATTGCCTTTTAGTTTTCATTAATTATGCCATACAGTGAGTAAAACAACAACACAGACAGAACTGGTGCAAACAAACACATTAGCCTACAGTAACAACTAAGGTGTTTTCACATATAGTCCTCTTTAAAGTGACTCTGGGGTGAAAATAATAATAGCTAAATAACTCAGTTATCTTTGTATTCATGCTGCCTTTGCCTTTGAATGAGTACTCAACTCTTTTGCCAGTTCACTTCACCCATTTTGTGGTTCAAGTCCTCTTTGCATTCACATTTCTATGTTTAGAAAGGAACCAATATCTTTTTCCAACATTCACTCAATTCACTCAGGGTTTTTCCAAAGTGCAGGACAAGCCATTCCATCAGCATGTAGCAGACGAATAACTGCAGACTAAATAATGCTGTAATTGAAAATTGTACAGCCAATATAGGCTACTGCCCCTTTCAGAGATATAATTTATTTTCTACCCATGTTGTGATTCTCACCAAATACATTGTCTTCTCACACTATCTAAAGATGCACTACGCAGAACATTTCATGGTTGCTAAAATTCTAATAGTTTACCCAATTTCAGTTTATGTGACAAAACAAGCAGTCATTGTGTAGAGAATCATTGTACCATCTAAACCCGCTGTGAAATATATTTTCCATAACCCCAAATATTGTATATTCAGCTGTTTGTAGCTGGTGTACAAAACCGAAAGTAAACTACGCAAAAACAAAACTTCTGAACGGGAAGCATAGAAATAGCACACATAGAACAGATCTACAGCTTCGTAGACTTGCTTTCCATGGGAATTAAATATCTATAACTCACACTTCTATGTGAATTTGGTAGGGTTGCCCAAAAAGTTATATATTGTAGTTTTATACTCCATAATTGAATAAACCGTTTATGGAGCTCTCTTAGCCTATAGATCACATATTGCAAACAAATAATCTGAACTAAAAACTCATATATTTTGGAATTTCTGTGCATCCTTGACAATCGCTAATTAATATCCCAAAACAACACACGGTTTTTCAGTGAATCTGGGGTGTAATCATTAGCCTAACAGTCAACTAAAACGATAGTTTGTATTGGACAAATTCAGGTAGGTTCCTCTCTGTTTCGTTTCGTCTGCTTCTGTTTAAGAAGCGTTTTGCAACAGAATCGGCGTAATGAATACATCCCAGCACATCATCATCTTCCCTCTTTTGTGGTACCAATGTGAGGGGTTATGGCAGAGGAAACGGTGTTGCAGTAGTCTAGTGTGTGGTGCGGGAATAATGACAAGTGAAGCTGGGGAGCTTTGTGTTCACATTGCCCTAAAAAAGGGAACAGGACCATGGAATTCAAGCGAACCCGAACTCAGACCACATCTTGAGATGGTTTCAGTTTGGTTCACCTCGGGGGATCTTTTGAGGGGTCTGAGTTCCTTCTGAGTGTTCACACTGCATAGAAAATTAAGCCAGCCGCACTGAGTTCACAAAAATTGTCTGAAATGGACCAAGTATGAAAACACCCAAAGTCATATCTACGTCTTCTGGGGGGGAATGTAAATAATTGATTTACTAATACAGTGAACATTTAATGTGTCACATTCAATAAATCAATAAATATTTACAAATCAAACAATCGTGGACATAGTTGAATAAAGATTTACAAATCAAACATTCATGGACATAGCTGAATAACATTCATAAAATAAATTACAATTTCTTCTAAATGATATTCTGATTAATGTGAATTGTCCACATTTGTCTACATTTTGGCAATGATAATTCTGCTCTTGTGAAGTGTTCTTATCATGCATTTTACCTCAAATGTGATTAAACACAATCTATTACAATTGATAAATATTGGACAAATGATTTAGAAAAGAAACTGCCTTGCTGAGATGATGGCTGCGAGTGATTTAATTGGATGAATGAATGTCTGCTATCTCTCTTGATTGATTTTGACTGCAAATGAAACCAGTCCTGTATAGTGCATAGGCCTACCCTCCTTTTCCAGCTCATGTATCATAAAGCAATCTTCTTTTATTAGACTACTTACATCACCTTTATATCCCCCTCCTCAACTGATAGAATTGTCTGTCCGCACATTGCAACACAAAGCCTTGCTGCTTCCCTACTTAAATACGGCAGGCAATATAGGATTGGGCAGTATCTCTGACTTCCTTATACAGTACAATGCAGTACAGTACACTACAGAGCCATATATAGAATAAATACATGGCTCTGGTACAGTATGTCATTGCAATTCCCTACTTAAGCATAGGAAGCTTATGAGGCCTTTTCAGTTTGTGACTTCTGACAGCACAGTTTAGGCCTACTGTTATTGCCCCGTCTAATGGTAAAGAGGAAGCACTGTCTCCTTAAATGTCCTCAAATATTTTTGGTGTCACAGCCGAACATTCATCACAATGAGATGTATTCAAGGAGCTAACGGACTGGAGAAAACAAAGCACTTGTTTCATGATGATTAAATTAAAGGGATAGTTCACCCAAATTACATATCTGTTTTGTAATTCGGGTAAACTATCGCTTTAAAAATGCATAATAATAGCAATACATAACCGGCAATGGATGTCGGTCGTACAATCACAAATCATTAAAGCGAGGAATAACAATGAGTCAGTGAATGACTATGTGGTGCAGCCTCATCATGCACCCCTACAATCGCCATGGTCGTCTAGTGGTGCTGGTGGTTCTGAAGTCGCTGTGGGGGTTAGAGGCAGGGCGTGGAGGGATGGGTGTGTGTAAGCATGCGTGTGAGCGCTGGCGGGGTGAGCGGTTGGCAGTGACGTGATGTAGCTGGGAGGACTGGGGGGACGGGGACGCGGGGGTGTTGAGGAGGTTAGAGGTAAAGGGTCAGGGGTTAGAAGTCAGGGGTTAGAGGTCAAGGGGAGTGTGTTTACAGGTTGACCAGGTGGAGGTCGGAGGCGGCAAAGTGGGGGCACAGCGCCATGTCGGGGTTCTTGAGCTGCCGCAGCACCCGCCGGTGGAACTTGGAGCGCACACGGTTGAACTCCATGATGTCACAGGGGTCCTCCTCAATCCAGAACCGATGGAACTCCTGCATTAGGTAACCTTGGAGAGGAGGGGGTGGACCATTAGCCAGGACAGAACCACAGTAGCCTGGTCCTAGAACTGTTTGTGCTGTCTTGCCAATTCCTATGGTCATAGTTGGCTATATAGCACAAACAGCTGGGATCACAGAGCAGGACCAGAAGAAAACCGAAAACTTGTAGGTTAGCAGGTAAGGGTGGGACGACAGTATAACATTTTCATACAGTACTACAATAATTGTACCAAAATGGAAAAAAACATTGTTTTGGGATATCATATTTCAGGGAAAGATACTACAAAAAATATGATATCACAATATTGGGATAAAACAATATTGCAGGGAAAGATACTGTAGGAATTCTCACAGTATTTTATGTCTGACAAGTTGAAGGCATGCAGATCGAGAGTAGTGTAAAGAAAGAGACGATGTCATGACTGATAATGTATAAGTGCGCCGTTCGGTTCTCAAGTTATATCAGTATATCAGTATCAATATATCGTCACACGTACTAGCAGATTTAACACTCAAAGACTGCATCTGAAATGGCACCCTATTGGGCTCTGGTCAAAAGTAGTACAGTATACAGGGAATACATTGCCATTTAGTAGTACAATATAGGGCATAGGGTGCCATTTTGGCCAAAATGGCTCCCACTCACAGAAGGTCTGCTGGAAGTGGCTGAGGCTGGGCATCTCCGGGGCTACGTTGTACAGGTGGGTCTTCAGGGCTCCGCTCACCAGCAGAGAGTAGGCCAGGTCCGTGATGTTGATGCCCACGATGGCAAAGGAGTATCTGGAACAATCAGTTATAAACATATCGCCTTTTATCTGAAGCTGGAATGAAGGCAATCTTTTTAGCTGTGCACAAGCCTCTGTGCTGCCCCCTGCACTTGTTCCTTCTACTTGACTTAAGTAGGCAGTAGGCACTAGTGCATATGGACTAGAATGGAATATGTTTACAGTCTTATGATTGTAATGTGGCTTAATGATCTCACAGGTTTTGATTGGGTGAAAATAATGTATGGCCTTGTTGAGATTTGAAATCCACAACGTGGACTTGGCCTATTGCAGTGCAAGTATGATAACTGATTTTGCCATGGTTTGACTGAGACAATTGAACTAAAGGAATAGGTGTGTACAAGAGCTGAATCTAAACAAATCCTGGCACACACACACACACACACATTTCACCCTCTGAAAACACACACACACACACACACACACACACACACACATTGCCTGAATATAGATGTCACAGCAGGACTTCCAGTGCTGAAACAGCCCCTCTGCCAGAGCCAAAGCGCCCTAGAGCTACAATAACCCTCCACCCCATGCCCAGATCTCCCATAATCCTTTTAGACACTGCCATGCCCATGGTATGATGAGGACACAAGGATATCAAAGGATTCTTCTTGATATTCTCTCCTTTGCCATCTCCTCTGCGTTCTTGCGTGTTTTAGGGATTCGAGACTCACCCAATTGCTTTATCAAAATTCTTCTGTTCCCATTCTGCTTTGCTCATTTTGCTGTGGAGTACACAAGCATGAGTGTGAGTGTGCATCTAGAGCTCTGACATTGCAGTATTTTCTTACTGCTGAGGTAGCCTGGTCCCAGATCTGGTTGTGCTGTCTTGCCAGCTCCTATGGTCATTGTCAGACAGCACAAACCGAACTGGAACCAGGCTGCTTCTGAGGTACCTCAGAAACTTACAAAGACCTCAGCTAATGAAACAAGTTGAGTAGTGCAAAGAAAGTGCCATGATGCAGTTTCATATGACAATTTCCTTTACTATCTAGATTCTATAACTCATCGTAATTAATGAATGGAATGCATAACTATAACAAGTACAAATAGAGATAATTCAAAAAACGTTGCAAATCAATTGGTCAGTATGAAAGTGAAATGGTGAAGTAGTACCTTGCCTCTTTGGGAATGCTCCTACAAACGTGAGAGAGAGGGATGGAGAGAATGGAGGTGGAGAAAAAAAGAAAGTGAGTGTGCCCAGTGAGATGTAGATCAAAGCAAATGTGCCAAACGATAGAAATGTAAAACCCTAGTCACAACTGCAGTCATCCAAGTGTGTACTATAAATTGCAGCTATAGACTGACACAGCCACAGTGTAGCCTAACCAGTGTGGAGAAACTAAGGTCAGGTTCATTAGGGCACACACTGGAAACTTTTCTAAAATTGTACACAACGGAAAGCGAAAATGTGTGTTTCTTATTGGGCAAGTTCAGGTAGTTACTCCCTGTTCAGCACTTTTTTCCCCGTTAGGTGCCTAATGAACATGACCCAGGAGAAACTCAAAACATCAGAGAGGTCTGATGGGAAATAGAGTTCGAGACTACTGATAGTGATTTCCCTTTTTATAAGATTTCCTCCCATGGAGTTTCAATAGTGGGACTGTGTTATGTTGAGAGTTCGTGTGACTCCAGTGCTTAATCATACAGGTCGCGTTCCAGGCCGACTACATTGCAGACGTTGCATTGCATCAACCAATGGTTAAGTGCCATTTCATCGACAGCACAGTTGGGCATCCGATTGCTATACCATATGATGTGGCTAGATAATATGTTAAACACCTATCCAGGTGTTGTGGATCTGGAAGGCGTCTGCAATGTAGTCAGCCAGGAACGCGGGATTAGATGGTGAGCTGACAAATAAGCATGATAGGTACAAATCATCCAACATATCAAGCAGTCATTGGTTCGACCCTAGATAGATCATTCTTCAAAGCATGTTGTAAGTGGTTGAGATAAATCAAGAGCCAATCTCTATGCCATAGGAGGTCAGGGGGCGGGTAAAGGAGGGGTAAAGGGGAGGGACCCACCTGTGTTTGGGCTGCAGGGAGTCATGAAGCACCTGGAGAGCGGTGGCCTTGTCATGCTCAGCAAAATATCTATGGTAGAGGAAGATAAAACACAGGGGAAACATAAACTAGAATTGTACAGGATTGTCTATTTGTCCCTTCACATTGTTACTGGATGTATAATCAGTACTGTACTATTGTCTGGTCCTTGTCTGCAGAGGAAAACATTTGTACAGTACAGTGACTCATATTACACACATATACACACACACACACACACACACACACACACACACACACACACACTGTCACACACACAGAGACACTCACAGAAGATTGTGTAGGCCCAGTAGACCCATGCCCCTGAAGTCAGTCTTGGGGTCGTTGCCTTGGAAACCGATCTCACACCACTGCTTGGAGATCCGCCCGGTGAGTGGCGAATCAGGACGCAGTGTCTTCCACAGCTACAACAGGACAAACACAGACATTAATCAGGGAGAGACTACTTACTGCTATCAGTAAATTAAGCCAGATCCCGTATTCATAAAGTGTCTCAGAGTAGCAGTGCTAGGATCAGGTCCCCCCTGTCAATATATTGTTATTCATTATGATTTAAAGGCTAAACTGATTCTAGATCAGCAATCCTACTCTGAGACGCTTTATGAATATGGGCCCTGATATTCAATACCTGGCCTTTTGAAATAGAGCAAATGACAATGTTGCATTGTCAGTGTTTGTATTATGTCAGCAATTCAGTCGCCTTACATTCTGAGCAGGGGATCCAATTACAGTATATACTGTATCTACCCCACACTGAGTAACTACCCCACTCTAGCTCCCCAACTATAGAAAGCACAGAAATTCTACCTTTATATCAACAGAGATATTAAATAGTGGTGATTATAGTAGCACTTCATAATGCATTATAATAACATTATAATGTACATGTGTAATAATCTAATCCATTCATCCTACCTTCATCAGCATCTGCTCATGGTCGGGGTTCTCACAGTCGTACGGCTCCCTGCGTAGCTTCTCCACCTCCGCCACCAGGCCACGGTAGCCTACGATCTGGAACAGGCTGGCCTGGAGGGAGATGCCTAGCCTGGGGAGAGACACAGCCATACCAGGGTCAGCCTGGAGGTCAGCCTGGAGGTGGCCTACTACTACAGGTTTGTGTTCAATAGACACCAAACGGAACAGAAAGAGAAATGGGGAGGGTCTGGTCTTTTCCTATACAAAATGCTCAAACGTTAAGCTATGGTTTACCCTAATGAACTCTGTGAGAGCATGCTCTTTTTGGAGGCTCCTTTTGTAAGTACTGTAGGGCCAGGATTCAATCCAAGGTGCATTGTAGCGCAGGGCACTATAACGGTCTCTTAAAGGTCATTTGCGTTTGAGCCAACGTGCGAGGTTTACCAAAAATGCAATCACCGAAAACTTTGTGGAAAATTCCTTTAAAAGGGATTGTCGGCTGTATAGTGATCTGCGCTATAACATGCCTTGGACTGAATCCCGGCCGAATGTAGGTCTTTCAATCCTGGTCAGTAGTCTGACTAGAGTACAAATCAATTGCATTCTAGTTAGGACAGGCACGTTATGAACCTTAAAAGACTGCTTGGTGGCTCTCAGTACTTGATGCACAGCGATCAACAGATCCAGTGCTGAACATGATCTTACTGTGGGTTAGTGTCAGGGTTGACCTTCTTCAGGGTCATGATGTCATCGATGGTCTTCTCCACACGGTCTGGGTGAGCACTGAGGGCAGACTGGCATAGCTGGAGAGGAAGGAGAGGCGGAGGAGGAAAAAGAGGAGGAGGAGGAATAGGAGGCAGGAAGAGAAGGAGGAAGAGAGAACAATGCATCATCACAGTTGTGTATAAATGTGTATAAGTTATGAAATACCATATTACCCGTCAAATGTATACCACTCACCTCATTCTTTGAGTACCTGAGGGAAGACTCTGAATGGGGAAAAACAAGTTTAAAAAGAAATGCTAACAATCCTACAGTATTTCAAATTCCCAGTTCCCACCCATCACTTTTTATCATTATCATAGCCTACATACAGTATGTCTCACACAGAATCAGAATTGATAACAGATTAAATTACATCTTGACGCATTAAACAATTCCTCTAAGGCAAAAAGTAGGCCTACCGATCTTAAGGGTCCTTCGGGCCCCTGGCTTGTTGTTGTGGCAGATCCGTTGCAGTTCACACCGCCCCGTGACCTTCCTGATCACAAACTTCAGGCCTCGCCACAGACATTTACAGTACAGGAACACAAAGAACTGTGTCACCACCCTACAGGAGGAGGAAGGGATGGAGAGGGAGAGAGAGAGAGAGAGAGAGAGTATATTCTCTACATTCTTAATGTGACCGACCCAGGTCTTCTGCGTACCACATCAAGACTGTGTTAGCCGACTGAGCTAAAGTCTAGGCATTAGCTTGGGGAACTAATTCAAGTCTTACATTTACATTTAGCAGACGCTCTTATCCAGAGCGAGTTACAGGAGCAATTAGGGTTAAGTGCCTTGCTTAAGGGCACATCGACAGATTTTTCACCTAGTCGGCTCGGGGATTAGAACCAGCGACCTTTCGGTTACTGGCACAAGGCTCTTAACCACTAAGCTACCTGCCGCCCGTCTTCAGGTCACAGTCAAAGTTACTCATCCTCGGTTAGACTAAGACACACTGATTTGATCTAGGCCAGAAGTACAGTGATGTGCTATAGTACCCATAATGTTCTGTACCTTGTACATAGTGTGCTTATGATGGGCACCATTGTTAAGTGTTTATGCTCAGGGAAGAGAATGCCTGCTCAACTCTCTCCCTCTCCCTCTCTTTAGCATGTGAAGAACTATTTGCTGTTTGTTTAAAATTACATTATTCGCTCTTCTCTTCTCTTTCCTCCCTCTTTCTTTCTCTCTCTCGCTCTTTCTCCCGTCCCTGCCTCCCCCCTTTCCCTCTCCTTCAGGCTCCATATTTCGGTCTGAGGGGAGCCTCTGCCCCCGGCCTGATAAGAGTGTAGTTCCAGTCACCCAACTGGGACAGAGGGAGAAGGATGACGTGGGTCGGATACACAGCAGCCTCCTAATGTAGGCTGTACTAGCACAGTGTGTGTGTGTGTGGTGAGGTACTCTTCCTGCACTGTAAACCCCAAAGCATTTTTAACTCAAATACTTCTAGTAAATTGAACTCAAAGTAAATGAAAAGTCATTATTACTTAAAATGTGTATGTGGAACTGACTAAAAACTAAATGAGAAGTCACATCAACAAAAACAAATTATGTTTCAACCCACTGTCATAAAGAGTTTAATTATAATGATAATCTTCACCTAGGAACTCACTTGGTGAAGGCCACAGGACTGAAATACAGTCATGGGTGGTTCCTCTACAATTCACTCGAAAAGGCAAAGCATACTGGGAAATGATATTGGAGGCATGGCTTAGTGGGGGCGTTACTCAAAATGTTCAAGCTGATACAACTCAAATCTGGACCCCCTACAGCACGTGTCAAAGTCATTCCACAGAGGGTCGAGTGTCTGCGGGTTTTCGCTCCTGCCATGTACTTGACAACCTGGTTGTCTAAGTCTTAATTGAAAGGAAAAACCAAAAACACGCAGACACTAGGCCCTCCATGGAATGAGTTTGCCTGCCTGCCTGCCTGCCTGCCTGCCTGCCTGCCTGCCTGCCTGCCTGCCTGCCTGCCTGCCTGCCTGCCTGCCTCTGCCTGCCTGCCTGCCTGCCTGCCTCTGCCTGCCTGCCTGCCTGCCTGCCTGCCTGCCTGCCTGCCTGCCTGCCTGCCTGACCTATCTATCTATCTATCTATCTATCTATCTGAACCTGTTTGGAGGTGATGAGTTGGAGTGAGAGCTATGGTTCATGGCCCATACCCAACTGAGTACCTGCCAAGTCAGAGAGCTTTGAAGCTATAAGGTTCTATCTGCATTTTTGTCTAAATGTCGTTTTTGAAATAGCCTTGTTCTGTTCAATGTTCAGCAAGTGCCAACACAGGTGAACACCACTAGTGCTTTGAAATGTGATAATAGCCTAATATTAGGGACGTCAAACGTTCAGGCTTCTGCACAGACACTATGGAGGCTCCAGTCTAGAGCCCCAGGGTTAAATTGTGTTTGAGATCATTTTTGTACTCTCTAAATGTTAAATTAGTGAAAAATAGGTGTCATTGTTGCAATGTGAGTGGGCAACATATGAAATTATTGTATATTGCCCTAATTTCCCTAATGTGGACAGTTTGTGTTATCCCCATAAAATTGAGTGGAATTACACATCCTTTTTACCTTAGATTGGTGATGTTAGTATAAATGTTTATAGTCATCACGATGACATAAGATTGAATGCTTAAAACATATCAATATCTTAGTGAAATTGATTAATGAAATGGCTTGGAATGGCACAGACAATTCGGGGTGGTCTCTCTATAAAAGTCGCTGGCTACACACCAATACACAGATTTGACAGTCAAACTTAAATAGCAGCTAAACGTTCTCACTGTTGATATCCTATGCCACGCCATAATTCATTTAAATTAGGAACAGTTCGGGCCAGAAGGTTGAGAGTTTGCCGACCACCACGGATGAGCTCACTCTACTTGCCTGTCTCATTACACTACGATCAGAGCCGGCTGCAGACAATGATCAGGTAGGGGGAAATCAGATTTTCAACATTTTGATGCTATATTTATAATTATAAAATATATGCAAAGATTTTCCACCAACAGGTTTCTTTCTGTGCCAATGCACCACACACAACCAATAAGCAATGCATAACTGCATATCGATTACCGACTTTGAGCTTTTCATCATGGTTTGCGTTTTCAACACCACAATCAAATAAGAGTTTGTCAATCTCGACAAACAGAAAATACATCCCTCCCTACTTAGTATCTAAGCCTTGACAATCTCAGAATGTCAATAAACTTTTTGGTGTTTTGAAACAGATGCCTCTTTTCAATGGCCGGTGCGCAGTTTGGATGCAGGAATTATATTACAGTGGAGTGGATGAACGTGCCCGGGTAGCCTACAGGAGACTTTTGAAATAGCCTAATCAGATTAAAACATTGTGAATGGTTGTGTTTATGCTACACCTAAAAGGTAATACAATTAAAAAAGTTAAATGACTTAAATATAATTTAAGCGTTAAGTTCTAGGTCAAGGAATAGCCACTCGGATCGGGAAAGGAGGCAGAACGCGCGTTAAGATTTTCTGAATAACTGGGCCTGCTGAGAGCATAGGCCTTTGTGGCTACAATATATAGGACGACTTGGGAGAATGATGGTTGGCAACAGACAGCGATAAAATAATTTATACACAATACCCCATAATGACAAAGCGAAAAAAGGTTTTTCAAAGGTTTTGCAAATGTATTAAAAATAGAAAACAGAAATACCTTATTTACATAAGTATTCAGACCCTTAGTTATGAGACTCGAAATTGAGCTCAGGTGCATCCTGTTTCCATTGATCATCCTTGAGATGTTTCTACAACTTCATTGGAGTCCACCTGTGGGAAATTCAATTGATTGGAACATTATTTGGAAAGGCACACACCTGTCTATATAAGGTCCCACAGTTGACAGTGCATGTCAGAGCAAAAACCAAGCCATGAGGTCGAAGGAATTGTCCGTAGAGCTCTGAGACAGGATTGTGTCGAGGCACAGATCTGGGGAAGGGTACCAAAAAATGGCTGCAGCATTGAAGGTCCGCAAGAACACAGTGGCCTCCATCATTCTTAAATGGAAGAAGTTTGGAACCACCAAGACTCCTCCTAGAGCTGGCCGCCCGGCCAAACTGAGCAATCGGGGGAGAAGGGCCTTGGTCAAGGAGGTGACCAAGAACCCGATGGTCACTCTGACAGAGCTCTAGAGTTCCTCTGTGGAGATGGGAGAACCTTCCAAAAGGACAACCATCACTGCATCACTCCACCAATCAGGCCTTTATGGTAGAGTGGCCAGACGGAAGCCACTCCTCAGTAAAAGGCTTGGAGTTTGCCAAAAGGCACCTAAAGACTCTCAGACCATGAGAAACACGATTCTCTGGTCTAGGGTGAATGCACCAATTTGTGAGTCGCTCTGGATAAGAGCGTCTGCTAAATGACGTAAATGTGCCCTTGAGCAAGGCACTTAACCCTAATTGCTCCTGTAAGTCGCTCTGGATAAGAGCGTCTGCTAAATGACTAAAATGTAAATGTAAAATGTAATGAAACCAAGATTGAACTCTTTGGCCTGAATGCCAAGCATCGCGTCTGGAGGAAACCTGGCACCATCCCTACGGTGAAGCATGGTGGTGGCAGAATCATGCTGTGGGGATGTTTTTCAGTGGCAGGGACTGGGAGACTAGTCAGGATCGAGGCAAAGATGAACAGAGCAATGTACAGAGAGATCATTGATGAAAACCAGAGCGCTCAGTACCTCAGACTGGGCCGAAGGTTCACCTTCCAACAGGACAACGACCCTATGTACACAGCCAAGACATCGCAGGAGTGGCTTCGGAACAAGTCTCTGAATGTCCTTGAGTGGCCCAGCCAGAGCCCGGACTTGAACCTGATCGAACATCTCTGGAGAGACCTGAAAATAGCTGTGCAGCAACGCTCCCCATCCAACCTGACAGAGCTTGAGAGGATCTGCAGAGAAGAATGGGAGAAACTCCCCAAATACAGGTGTGCCAAGCTTGTAGCGTCATACCCAAGAAGACTTGAGGCTGTAATCACTGCCAAAGGTGCTTCAACAAAGTACTGAGTAAAGGGTCTGAATACTTATGTAAATGTAATATTTCAGTTTTGTATTTGTAATAAAATAACAACAATTTCCAAAAACCTTTTTTTTTTGCTTTGTCATTATGGGGTATTGTGTTTAGATTGATGAGGGGAAAAAACGATGTAATCCATTTTAGAATAAGCCTGTAACCTAACAAAATTTGGAAAAAGTCAAGGGGTCTGAATACTTTCCGAAGGCACAGGTGTTGAAGAGCAACATTGTCCCAGACAGGTTTTAGTCACAGTACATTTATTTTAGGCTAGCAGTGTTTCTGTCAGGTTTCTGTACTGCACATGTGATGGCAGAGTATGCAAAACAAATGTGCACCCGATTGCAAAAAATCATCATGATATCATTCGGCGGGTAGGCCTACTTTGCAGTCAACATTTAATTGGGAAGGTTTTTTGGGGAAAAGGTTGAAAATTACATTCTGCATGCATCGCAGATTTTATATAGCCGATAGGCTTTATATCTTCACTTTAGCAGGGTTTACTTCAGGCTGACTACTAGCATCTATTGAGTTGCAATGTCCCATGAATTGAATGTCCAAATCAACTAAAAGTATATACAAAATAAGTTTTGCATCGACACAATCCTTTTACTGTTTGCGACTCACAAATTATTATTTTGATTACCATGATTAGATTCACCGCGATTTAACTGAACCCCAACTACTACAATGGCGAAACACATCATTCAATTCGTTAAAAATAATCATTTAAAAACAATAGTTTCATATGAATTAAATGAATCACTATTATTATTAATATTTTATATTTTGAGAAATGTGAAGAGGGGCATCCGTTATATAGTAAATTCAATTTGTATGGCCTAAACAAGATCAATAGGGGGGCTTTTTGAGCTGCGTGTCTCATGTCTTCACTGTTCTTTCATGCGCAATGACGCACCGGACCTCTCCGCTGCCTATCAGCTATTCCTCTATGTTCTTCTGGATTTATATAGAAAACTTGTGCAGATTTTAATGATTTTATGTGTGTTATGATTGCTAGTTAACCTATTGCAGATCTGGACAAACGATCCACCTACCACTCTTGCAGTGGTGTAAATACTTTAAAGCACTACTTTAAGTCATTTAAGTCATTTTTGTGGGTATCTGTACTTTACTATTTATATTTTTGACTACTTTTACTTTTACTTCACTACATTCCTAAAGAAATGAATGTACTTTTTGCTCCATACAATTTC